GAATCTTGATTTCATGGATAAGAGCATTTGCGACTAAAGCAAGAAACAGGATCAGAAAATGAAATAACCAATCTTTTTTTGGCCACAGCTGGGGTTGAAGCCATTATGAAAATTTCAACTATGGCTTACCCAATGCAGTTGGAAAGTTTAACTTTTGACAAATGTTACCAAGTACGTTGACAGAAACCTGAAGAAGAACTTCCTTTTCTTTAATATTTGTAAACTGTGCATTGCCATTGTTGTTTTTGAGAGAGATAATGGAGTAGTTTTTATTTACCTTCTCCAGTTTTGAATTCATAATTATCCTTCTTCTAGACTGATTGTTCTACCAAGGCTTTTTAGCCCAGTCATTTTATTTCTAACTGGAAGGAGTATTTGTGGAGCAAAGATAAAAATAAACACCAAGACATTCAAACATCAAATGACAAAAAAATAGTTTCTGCACATTCTTCTGGTTAATAATGCTTTGAAAATAAATATTTAGCATTTTTAAACCAATGGGTCTTGTTCCTGTCAACAATAAAAAAAAACATGTTTCATGATCCCTTTGAAGTGTATTTAAGCAAAGTTTCTAGGTGGACAAAGAGAGTAAGGAGAGACAGACAGAAACAACAGCAACATTTCACAACACCAGACTTAAAAGAAATTCCATTGCTCATTCACCCATCTTTCCTTCCCTGTGGCACTTATATTTTCCTCCTCACTTTCTCCCTTGCTTCTTCTTTCTCACACATAAACACAAAGAAATCACATTTCTTTTCATTTTAATAAACAAGTACAAACAAGGGTCATAAGAACTTTAACACTTATACATGCTAAGAAAAATTTAGTTATAAAAACACAAAAATAAAAATATCTTATATTTTTATATTTAAACACCTTTTTAATTTTTTCTTTGTTGTGTGTTGATTCAAATCTACAATATATTCATGATTTGTCCAGAATTTAAAGTCAGTTTACCTATTCTATTTTCTCGATTGTTAACTGTTATACTGCCTACCAACTCTCTTTTGTAAAAACCAAATTTCCATTTTGATTTAAAACATTAAAAGTGTATTTATTCAAATCAAAAGACTGTTTCTTTTTATATCTCTACCAAATGTATCTCATTTATTTCCTGTTTAATTAACTAATATTTTAAAAGTAGATCAAGTAAAATAAGTTATCCTAATCAAGGTTGATGATTATCTTCACAACTATTTTAATTGACAAGCTCTGCTTGATCAATATCAAAATTTAATTTTACTTTCTCACTCAGTGAAAGCTCTGGAATTTCCAAAAGATTTTTTGGAAAATTTAGTTAAATATTTAATGAGATTTAAAAAAAAAAATTGTTTAATCTTTTTCTCTTTAAAGTTGCAATGACAGGTTTCCCAGCAATTAAAAAATATCTTTAAATTTGAGAAGAGTCATTATCATTCCAAGAGTTCTTCAGACTATGAACTCATTCTTTGTATTGCTTTTGTTGGTACCACAATATTTCAGTCAATCCATTCTATGTCTACCTTTTATAATTTTGAGAAGAGTCTTTATCATTCCAAGAGTTCTTCAGAGTATTGAACTCATTCTTTGTATTGCTTTTGTTGGTACCACAATGTTTCAGTCAATCCATTCTATGTCTACCTTCTATAATTTTGAAAAGAGTCATTATCATTCCAAGAGTTCTTCAGAATATTGAACTCATTCTTTGTGTTGATCTTATTATTGCATTTTGATTAGTTTTCTTCAAGAATATCATGTATAGAGAAGGAAATCAGGCTTTTTTATTAGAATGTGGTAGAAACAGAAAACAAATGCTTGAAATCTCTTAGAAGTGAACTTAAAGTAATCGTATATGATTATGAACAGTGTGACATTTTTATTTCTTTGTAACTTCTCTAATGCTAATATGAACAAATATCTCAAATTACAGTGAATTTTTGCTAAATTCAGTTACTTAGCAGGCAAGTGACATATTCACTATACCAATATTGAATTTTTTCTTGTTTTTCTTAAGTCATTAGAACCTCGATGGAGAATACAATACATGCTAGGTTGGGGTGCAGTGATTTCAATAGGAGGTAAGTTTTATAGTGTAGAGGTCCTAGCCATACATCCAAGTGATTTCGAATTCAGAGTTGTCCTTCTCCTAGACTAGCTGCTAATCAAGGCTAAAGATCTCAGTGTGCACTGCTATTTACCATAGCTTGGAGGATAAGAAATAGATTCATACCTTTCTGAAGGGGATTTGTGTGAATGTGGATGCAACAACCTTGACTAGAATTTTAACTCAGCTTGTCTCTTGCACTTTCCATATTAATGACCACTATATTATGTTCATGTTAAAATTAACTTGCAAATACTCAAGGTGCATAGATACTGTACTGATCCTAGGCAGAGAGCTAGGAGGCAATAATTTGACCATTATAGGTAATATTGAATAAAATAATAACTAGATTTTATTAATCCTAAATAAGGGTCTCAGAAAGAATATTTAAACCTAAAGCAGTAGAATCTTCTGAATTCCTTAAAAAATGAATCCTGTTATTAATAAATTTGTGGTACATGATTTGATAATTGAAGGATTTTTACCAAACATGCGAGCTACAGAATCATATTGATTTGGAAATTTTAGATATCTGTAGAAATTCCTTAAAACTGCAAGAAATCTAGTTTAATTTTGAAAGATGCCAATTAATGGCCATTGTGAAATAAGTTCAATGATGAATTAAACATGTAAAAATAAAAAAATATATATTAGTTTTTATGGTCTATGAAAGCTTCTGTAATCATCTTATTATTGGGCAATCATCTTTCTTTTGTGTTACCTTATTCATACATCTTTGTTTTTTACCATGTTCCCTCAGCTTTGTCTTTTTACTTATTTGCATTTCTCTATCTTTCTGTTTATATATTTTTTTTAATTTTCTTTTTATTCACTGTGTCATTTTTTAAATTTTGTTCCTGCTAAATTCTTTTTTACTTTCTTTGTAATATTATCTGTTGGATGGTCAGACAATATCAATTGTATAACATCTTTCTTTTTTTTTTATTATTATTATTTTTGTTGTTGTTGTAGTAGTAGTAGTAGTAGAAGAAGAAAAAGAACCCACTTGCTGCTCAATGGTTAATAGTGCTTGCTTTATTGGGAACGTTAGACATTGAATAAAGAAATAGAGGCTGAAACATTTTTTTTTCATCCTCAGAACAATTTTGACAGCATGAAAAAGCAAGGCTGAAATACTTCAATGTGAATGTTCTTTCAATTGTTTAACTCCTTGTGTGTGTATATATATATATATATATATATATATATATATATATATATATATAATTAAAAATTATAATATAAATGTGTTATACAATCACTACAAAAATAGCCATATCATCACTTGATAAGACACCAGAGGTGTTGAAACAAAATGGGTATTTTTGTAGTGATTTTATAACATATTTATGTTATAATTTTTAAATAAATAATTATATTTGCTCTACTCTGTATTGAGCATTCTTTTAAGGATAGTAATTGTTGGTTATTGGAATTTATTCCGTATACACCAATCCTATACTTGTATATATATATATATATATATATATATATATATGTGGGTGGGTGTGTGTGTGTGTATGAAATGTGTGTATATATATATATATATATATATATATATATATGCAATTTTTTATATATATTATTTATATATTATATATGCATGGTACTTATTGGAAAGTGCTCAATATCAGTGACAGAGCTAACATATTTAGTTGGATTGACAACAATCCAACTATATATATATATATATATATATATGTATATAAATAAAAGAAAGAACAGTAAGATATAAAATCCGTGTTCTTATAGATATTTTATTTTTACAAAATAGTGCTCAATGTAAATTTACAGAGCATTAATATAACCATATTTTAAATCAATTAATTTATAATATATATATATATATATATATATATATATATATATATAAAAAATTTGAACATCCCCACAAGATGGACTGGTTTAAGACTATTTAAACAGCACTCTCTGTTACTGAGGAAGGGAGGAGTTAAGGATTAACTGTTTATTACATTGTCTGTGTTCTGAACCATTCATCATATTATTCTCTAGAATAAAATACTTCTTACTTTCTATATGTGTTTCAACCTTTCACAAGAATATATATAATATATATTTGGACAACAACTTTTATTTCAAATATGTTTCATTGAATATGACAGACAAGGAAATTTGATGACTTTTTTTATTTAGTTTTTCTAATATTCTTACATTTTTCCATTTGGTGGGAGTAAGGGAGTGTAAAAATTGTCCATATTGTCTATTGTCTCAAGTGCTTTCAGCCACTTCTTTAGTCATTTTCAAGGTGTTTGCTGTTGAGTGTTGTTGATTTCTTTACATGGTTGTCTGTTTGAGATTTAGTGCATGATGACTATATAGTAGTAGAATTTATTCTGCTCCCTGCAAAAGAAACGTGGCTGAAATTTGAGTTTGCATCTTTCGAATTTGAAAAAACTTTTAATACACTATTTCCACTGTATATCTATTGCTACGGGCCCTCATCTAATTTTATTATAAAATCAACACTAATGTTTATATTTTAGAAATACTCTTAAATTGCCATTCTCTTTGAATTCCATTTGCAAGAAGGAAATTCCACTCAATGAACTTCTTCCCAAGAACTGCTACTACTTTGCAGAACAGATTCCTGCATGTCTGCTTTCCTGAAAACTACAATCTTAACCCCTTTAAGTACAAGGTCAGTTATTATTTCTCCTACATATCCTCATGGCTTATAGCCATATCAAATTGAAACACTGGTTCACAGTTGTTATGACAGTTGATGAAAAATGGGTTGCATACAACAATGTTTGACATAAAAGGTAGTGGATTAACAAGGATAAATCTCCACAACCAACCACAAAACCTGATCTCCATGGAAGAAAGGTAATATTGTGTATGTGGTGGAATCATCAGGGTATTATTCATTTAGAGTTCTTTAAATGCAGTCTTACAGCCACATCATGCTTAAACACCAATTCCCGTAGGATCACCAACATTAAGCAACATCAGGTCTGGTCAGTACCTAGATGGGTGACTGCTTGGGAATACCAGGTGCTGTAAGCTTGGATGTGCAAGTGGTTTAATGGACAACAGCTCAGAATTGAAAACTAGAGAGCCAAGTTTCAAATCCAGTTGGGCTTGTTATATTCCCTTACGAGCAATTAACCTTGGGTAAAAGTATAAATCCACTTCTTCTCTCCAGATATAGATTAATTAGTGGGACTTGTATCAGAAAATCAGTATTATCTCCCAAAAATTCTTACAATCTAAAAATATTTTCTGGCTTTAAATAACCTGCAAAAGGTTAATAAACCATAAAAAACAAATCAATCAATTTATATTCTCATAATCTTCACTTCACAGTCAACACCATTTTCCTACCAACGCTGACATACATGGCCCCTAACAAAAACCCTTGAGAGGAAACTGATCATTTGTGAGATGAAATCTCCAAGAAAAGCAGTGAACAAGACCAGGCAAGACAAATCAGGAATGAGGCAATAAGAGATATGGTAGGAGCAATACTAATCATACAACACATCGAACATTCGGACACCTCGCTCATATGCCTATCAACCAACCAGCGCTACGAGCATACACCCTCAGGTACTCTGGCTGGAGAGTGAGAGGCAGACCAAGAAGACACCGGAGCGACTCAGTGGCAGAAACTCTCAGAGCCTATGAGATATCTCTCCTCCAGGTCACTCACCTTGCTGCTGACAGACGACTGTGTCTCCCTGCAATGCCTAACAGTACAAGCAGAAGGAAAAACTAAATTAACTAACTAATCTTTACTTCTTAATGAACTTGGTTTAGTACAGCTGCAATACAGTGGTTTCATATGTACCAATTAGGGAATAGTCTTATCAATTGAATGTGTAACAATGTTTCCAGTCTTTTATTTAATTTATTTTATTGGAGGTCCTCACAGATTCCAGATTGGGAAGAAATGCATCAGCACCAACTAAATGTCTGATCTTGTCAAAGAATTAGGAAATCCATTGTTAATAATAAGAAAATATGCCAATTCTACAGAGTAAAGAGGCCTTGTCTTTTGGTGTTGGCAATTCTCTCAATGGTCATAATTGTTCATCATCAGGCTTAAATATACAATGAATTATAGTGTAGCCTAGAAAATCAATGTGATTGATATGACCGACTTTTTTTCATTGAAAGTTATATTGTGGGCTTAGGCAAACTCATGGAACTTTGTCAAGTTTTTCTTGTGTTCCAGCTGAGTCCTTCCATCTATGACATGTTTAAGGGTGGCAGGCCTAATTTAGCTTAAAAACTACTTTAATAAATAAAAAAAATAATCATGCAGTAAACTGAAATTTACACACCTTATAGAACATACATAAGGCTAACCCTTGGCAAAATTCCAACTAGCTAAGTGTTAATAAACCTGTTTGAACCTAAACAAAATTTTACAGTCTCCTGGCTAAATCTCACTGTAGTGATACTAGCAAATTAGTATGCATAATTTGCATAAGCACAAGTGAACACTCATATAAGTGGTCACTGAGAATAATGAATAGAGGTACGAGTTTAGCTGATTAGTGCTAACTTCAACTTCACAACAATGGCGTCGCCGATAGGATATCAATTGTCTCTGGAAGATCCAGATTTTGTGGATACATGGATTCATGTGCATATGGATCATGCATACATTAATGGAGTGGGACTCTTATTAATACTAGTAGACTCCTTTTTAGGTTGGCCTGAAATAATCCGGGTTACAAACAAGAAAAGTTCTACTATAAAGCAGATTCTATGAGTCATATTTTCCAGAAATGGCGTACCAAAAACCTTGGTATCTGATAATGCACCAGAATTTTGTGATGAAGAACTTAATGTATGGTTAGAAAAAATAGGGTGTAAACCATATAAGACACCTCCATATCACCCTCAATCGAACGGATTAGCAGAAAGAATGGTGCAGACCGTAAAAAGGGACTAAAAGCATGCTCTCAGCAAAAAGAAAAAGTAGAAGTTTTTCTACCGAGACTGCTTTTAAGTTATCATACAATACCACATGTGGGAAGACTAGAAAGCCCATCAGCTTTAATGGGAAGACAGATTAGAGGTTTGCTAACGATGTCATATTCTACAAATGAAAAAATATGGTACAAAAAGAACAAAGATGCAGATCTGGAAAGGGGAGAATTTATCATGCAAAAAGGACACAATACTGCTATAATAAATAGAGAAAACAGCAATAGTGTATTAGCTCATGCAGACCAAATTAGGACCCAGGATGAAGAGGAAGAGCAAAACGATGAAGAAATGTCTTCAATTCCGTCTGATAACGAGTTGATAGAACAACCAGTACAGAAGGAAACTTCAGAAGACGAAGGAATGCAGGATCAAGAGGGCCAGAATGAGTTTGAAAGTTCGGACGAAGACCAGATAATGCAAGAAAACACATATGACTACAGCCCAGTGCAGGACAGATCCAGGTCTCCCAGAGAGAGAGAGAGAGAGAGAGAGAGAGAGAGAGAGAAGTAGAGCAAAGTGATGAAAATAACATGAGAAGGAGTACAAGATCTACGAGAGGAATAAAACCCTTGAGGTTCAGGGAGATGTAGTGATACTAGCAAATTAGTATGCATAATTTGCATAAGCACAAGTGAACACTCATATAAGTGGTCACTGAGAATAACGAATACGAGTTTAGCGGCTGATTAGTGCTAACTTCAACTTCACAACACTCACACTGAGCCTATTTGCATACACTTTGATACAAGCAATATGATATAAATAAGAAACCAAGAACCAGAAGAAGCAGCTATGACTTGCTAAACAAACTAAATAAAAGGCTAGATGAAAGGACTCTCTGTGAACAACAGGCACATGTGACATTAGAATTCTTCAGCACTTTGACATATGTCTTCATTGTCATAAAATAAGTGAAGCCATCAAAATATGATTCTATTTCCTGGAATTTTCTCTCTGAATTTCTGGGATGGGGAGTTATTTACATTTGGATAAAACATTATCTTAATGCTGTCACAACATTATCACAATGTTGTCAGTTGTACCCTCAAGCCTTCATCAGGTGTATACAGATCCAAGTAACATACAGGGAATTATGAACTGAAGCTTTTATTTCATCTATGTTGCTAGAATGTTCTCATTCTACTGCTCATGTCTAGTGATATTTTGTCTAATTCCTATTTTTAGTAATGCTCAGTTATTGCACACCCTGTTTTCACTGAGTCCAAGCATATACTGCCTAGGATTGAAGTCATCACCATTACGATGTAACCAAATTCAGGAACCAATGCTTTAATCCATTAGACTGTTGCCCCATAAAACAATTCTCTGTTGGAGAACTTGGACCCTTAAACCTAACCTGCCTGCTGAGGAGTTCTGCACTCACTGAAGGTTTTTCTCTTTCTGTTACAGCTGCTGCTGCTGCTTTTGAAGACTTGCTGTCATATCTCTTTATTTATTTATTATTGACTCCATTATTATAATTATTTCTATACAAAGCTTACTAAGGAGGTCCTTATAGCCTGGCATATGTGCTGATTCTTTCAGACGTCTAACTCTCCAGTGTTCTTCTTATCCAGTATTTTCACTTCATTTCACAGGGATTGATGATTATTACTAACAATAGAATGTAAATAGTGCAAACATTTTTCTTACTTTGATTTGAGTGAACTTGGGTACCTTTAACTAGTTTCTTCTGTTCATCTCTCTCAAAAAGACATGCTTTTTGTTGAACCACACAAGTGATGTCTTATGAAGAATTGAACTTATCAGTCATGCTATTTTCCAATTGCTTTTCAATTGTAAGTACAATTCAATACTAGTAGTTACAACTCCAAATAGCAGTGTTCAACTAACTAGAATTGGTTGATCTATGCCATTGCAGTTGACTGTGTCACTTATCATCTGTCATCAATAATTAATTGCGTATCAAGCCAAGGTATCATCTGTTGACAATTGCCTATCTATGCAAATGGAAAACTGCTACCCACTCTAAGTTTTTGTTATTGAGGTTTGCTGATCTAGGTGGAGAAGGTATTGTCTGGCTCCTACCCATTGACCAATGTGAGGATTACTCCCATCTAGTCTGTCAAAATTCCCATTAGGTATTCTGTACCAAGACTATAAAAGATTAGACATAAGCTTTTTTTCTCTTATCATTCAGTAGGTCAGTGGTTCCCAAGCATTTTTTGGCCATGCCCCACCTATGCATCTCTAAAATTATGTTCCCCTTACCTGTGACACATAATTCTTACTATTCAAAAAGTGAACTCCTATTCACATGAAAGAAGTCTAAAAGGCCATATACTTAATTTCTCCTTAAGAACTTGAGACTGCACATATGCAATAGTATTATTATTTAATAGAATTTTACAATATTTATAAAAAATATTGTGTTACTAATATAAATATGTATGTACATATATATATATATATATATATATATAAGATGTGGCCTGACAATTGTGTCTTGCATGGAACACACTGTCGCCTCAAAGTGTTGACTTCAATGTCCACTTTTATATTTATCTACACTCTATCTCTGATATTGACCACTTTATCCCATAAATATAGCACATCTTAAAACTATATTTCTTCATATATATATATATATATATATATATATATATATATTTTTAAATTCTATTACTTGTATATCCTTGCTTGACCCAACTAATGTCCTGCGATGGAGCGGTTCAGGGGAAGGAAAGTCATTACTCTTGGGGCATAATCCATTGGGTTATGAATACTTGGATGAGTATCACCACAGAATTTGTGAGTATTGCCGCTATATTGAGCATATTCAGTTTCTTCTTCGTCACTGAGGCTCGTTGGTACAGTTGTTATGATGCTTGTGTTGTATCAAAACAGTCCAGTTCTAATCTCAGTAATGGATGCACACTGCTGATGAGTCCCAAAATAGGATGAAATGGCTGTCCTGTGCTTTCTGCATTCTGTTGAGGATTCATCTAAACTCAATGAATTATTATAATATATATATATATATATATATATATATATATATATATATTATATACAGTACATACATAATTACACATGTGCATACATACACACAAATATTATATAAGCATACTGTATATCCACCATATGTATTAACTTGCACACAGACTCATACTCACACACTCATACTCACACAGATTCACTAGAAAAAATTCACTGTTAAGAACTCATTCTCAAATTGCCCCCCATAAAAATCAAATTGTCCCTCTGTGAAGCATGCGTCCCATGCTGAGAACCCCAGCAATAGGTAGAAGGCATTCAGTCTTTTCTTCTCGGAGAACTTAGTTACCTGCACATATGGTGCATCTTTTGCATGCATGCACTCAAACATACATATGCACACTAGGGAAGGTTGATTTTTCACTTTTTTAAAGAAAATCAACATAGCAGTCAGTGTGAAAGCTGGGGTTTGATGTGTTAAGTACTAACAAAAAAATTGTAAAAGATTACAAAAAAATCAACTCAATGAATAAGATTTGTTAGTTCATTTGATAGATCATCTTACTTATTATAAAACGCAGATTGTGTGTGTGTGTGTGTGTGTGTGTGTCTGTACGTTTATATATTGGATTGGATTTCCTACATTTTTCAACCGATTTCAACAAAACTTCACAGGACTACATAAAATTACCTTGCAGTGGTTCTGACAGCCCCCAAAATTGGAAAAACACAATTGTTTTTGCACAAAATCAATTTGAAAACACAATTAAGAGGCATCACGAGAATGAAAGGGGGACAACTCATATCGAGTTATACTTATAAAACCCAGGTTGTTTGTGTGTGTGTGTTCATTTATATATCGGATCGGATTTCCTACATTTTTCAACTGATTTCAACAAAACTTTCAACTGTAAAATGAATACTTATTATAAAACCCAGGTTTTGTGTGTGTGTGTGTGTGTGTGTGTGTGTGTGTGTGTGTGTGTGTGTGTGTGTGTGTTCGTTTATATATTGGATCGGATTTCCTATATTTTTCAACCGATTTCAACAAAACTTCACAGGACTATGTAAAACTACCTTGCAGTGGTTCTGACAGCGTCAAAAATTGGAAAAACAATTGTTTTTGCACAAAATCAATTTGAAAACACGATTAAGAGGCATCACGAGAATGAAAGTGGGACAACTCATATCGAGTTATACTTATTATAAAAACCTAGGTTGTGTGTGTGTTCATTTATATATGGGATTGGATTTCCTACATTTTTCAACCGATTTCAACAACACTTCACTTTTTTTGGCAGGTAGTGTTTCTTATTGTCTTGCACACTTTTTTTCTTTATTTTTACATTCAGAATGCTTTAAATATTTCATTTACAAGACAATTGTTTATAATAAAATTCTATTCAATTGATAGACTCATAACGATTGAAAACAATGTTTTTGTTTGAGTTTGGGTTTGACCAATTCATAAAAAAAAAAAAAAATAATTAAGACATGCGTGTCCGTCAACCTTAAACAATAATCTTTGTCAATTTTATTTTTCAGTCTTTATGATGGTCGATACTTGATCTATCTCTTACTGTTACATCCCCGGGCAACGCCGGGCTCTACTGCTAGTAATAAATAAATAAAAAAATAGATAAAAGTCTATATAACACCATAATACTGCTGGACATAAATGATAAGACAAAATGTTTTAAATTTGCATTGTTTATTGAAAATTACACTAAAACTATTGCACTGTAAAATATATTACATCATAATATAGCTAAATTGTACAGTATAATTTCCCACAATGATTTAGTAATAATGTGCTTGTGCCATGCATCTTGTCGATATACAATTTTTAAAGCTTCAATATATTAAAAATTTTATGTTGATTGATTCATTCATTTTCCATGGCTTATCAAAACTTTGCAGTTTATTTAAAACCAGAAAATATTTCTTTTAGATTGTAAGAATTTTTTTTGTGGGGGTGGGGAGATAATAATGGTTTAGTGATACAAGTCTTTCTAATTAATTCATAGCTGAGGAGAGTAGTTGCTGATTCATACCTTTCCCAAGGGTATTTGCAAGCAAGTATAAAACGAACTGACAAAAAATTGAAACTCGGCTCTCTAATTAACACTTCCAATCCATTATACCATCTGCACATCCAAGCTTACAGCACCTGATATTCCCAAGTTGTCACCCATCTAGGTACAGACCAGGCTCAATCTTGCTTAACTTTGGTGATCATATGAGAACCAGTTTCAGCAGGATGTAGCCATAAGCTACAATACAATTAATAACAATACAAAAAGAGAAAAATTTTACTTGTGTGTACACAGATGATTAAGAAGAAAAATATTTCAGACTTTGCTGTTAGGAAATATGTGTGTGTGTGTGTGTGTGTGTGTGTGTGTGTGTGTGTGTGTGTGTGTGTGTGTGTGAGAGAGAGAGAGAGAGAGAGAGTTAAATTGTAGTAGGTGGACTTCCGGGAGAAAGAAGAAAGAAAGGTTTTTATTGACCCATCCTTTTATAGTCCTGAACAGCAGCACCTTGCAGGCATCTTAGCAGACAAGGCCAGAGTAATCTCCACACCTGATATTCTCAAAATTTAAATTCTCTTCAAATAGCAAATAAAAGACTGTCTTTTTGTTGAAGTACCACAATTTATTATATTTAATATCAGGAAGAGACAGTTGAAATTTCTAGGGCACATAATGAGGAAAGAAGGCTTGGAAAATCTGATACTCACAGGAGGGATTGCAGGCAAGTGGAACAGAAGAAAACAAAGCATAACTAACCTGGCAACCTTGAGTGAATGGATGGCAGAGCAGAATTTGGGAGGGATAACAAAAAGAAAAAATATATTAAGAGCTACAAAGGACTTGAAATTGTGGAGAGCCATGAACACCAACATCCTGAAGGCATATGGCATATACAAGAAGACTTGCTATATGCTGGAATCTACTTTATACTTTGGTAGTGTATCAAGATGTTTAGATAGGAGTGCAGTTTTAGTGTTTTACCATCGGTGCAAGTTTTCATAGATATGACTCTACTGCATGGTGACTGTCAGCTTCACACCTTATGTAATCTTTAGACCATGTTTAAAGAATAATGTATGTAATTGCAAGCAATTTTAACTTTTGTGGCTTGGACAAAAAGAATAGTAATGGATACATAAGTCAATGAATGTTGGTTTATGGTACACTGATGTAAAAAATATTGAATTGGATTTGTCCACCAAAAGATCTCAAAAAGAAAGCCCATCATTGTTCTCTTTTTTTAAAAATCATAAGGAGTAGCTGTTAGGCCTGAATGTTATTAGCCTTTTGATGATTATATATTTAATATATAACATCCTCTCTTTTGATGTTTTATTTGCTGTACACATTTTTTTCCCTCTTCAATAGAAATCTGAGGGGAAAGAATAAAAACCAGTCAAGCTTTAGTTTTCTCTTTTTGGTCTACTTTTTTTTTTTTGATTTACCTCTTCATGGTAAGTATAAACTTTTATTGTTATTCATTCCTGTTGCCTGATTTTATTAAGTTCATTTTTATTACAATTGTTAAGTTTTGTGCTCCTAGTAATTTATTCAGTTAAATGAAATTCTAAAATTTCTTTAATCTACAATTTTAAAAACTCTTTCTTAACTTTAAAGATTATATTTCTTTATGTAAATTTTTCCTATATGATCAAGAGTTAACATTTTAAATATACGTCATTGTTAATTTTCAACCGTTTTTAACTTGTCTAGACTTGTATATATATATATATATATATATATGTCATCCTGTTCTCCCTCACTACTTTGGTTTTTCTTTCCCCCTTTTTTTTCTCTATCTCCCTCTTAAATGCCTTTTCTCTTATTTGTGGTTTTTCCTTAAACTTTTTTGCTCTTTCTTCCTATCTCTTTTAATTTTCAATTTAAAAAAAAAAAAACGTTAAGATTCATTTTTTATCAAATATTTTAGTATTGACAAGCTCCAAAAAAGAGAAAAATCTTGAGGAGTTATAAATGGGATACAATTGAGTTTCATTTTAAATTTATATGCTCTATGATAAATATATTGTCTCTTTGTGGATCAGTTTTAAATATATTGTTCAGTTGGATTACTTACACATGGATTTTTACATATATATGTATATATATATATATATATATATATTGATAATATTAGTGGTCAATATATATATATATATATATATTTATTAAAAACATTTTTATGTTTAACGTTCTTTTTATAGATACAAGTATTTAAGGATAAACAGTAAAATAACATTTACCAGGACAGAATGTCCGAGAAATTTTCATAATATAAAAGGCCTCAAACATCCGTCATTTATAATCCATGGATATTATTTATTACATTGGAATCATAATCACAATCCAATTAAAATCAGACCCATTTCTTACAAATATATATATATATATATATACACATAAATTTCCAAGGGATAGAAGAGTAAGAACATAATATAAAAAGGCAAATATTCATAATCCATGGAATTTTTATTTTATTGGAATCATTTCAATTAATCAACCTAAATGAATGAACAAATATTCTTTTTTAATTTTAGAATTTCCAACAAATGAATACACTGTACACTGTACTATATATGCATAGAAAACAGGAAAAAATTTGATTTAATAGAAATAAATCCCATTTATCCATTTTAATAGGTGGAAAAGTATTTGTACAATACAAATTTCAGATTTTAAAACTTTTAAATTGCTTTAAAACTATAGATTATTCAAGTGGAATATTCTAGAATGTTGCAATAATGTTATCAGTAGGTATTTTTAGCCTAAAAAATACAAACAGAATATTCTGTAATTGATATTCGTGGAAGAAGGTTATCATTGTGGCAAGAGGTAAAGAATTGACAAATTCGCAAAAAGAACTGTTTGTTAAGCTCTGGAAAGAAGGTAAAAGTTATAGGAAAATCTCAGACAACCTGAATATTCCATTTACTACCATTAGTTCATTCATTGCAAAGTAAAAAAAACTCAAAACTGTTGAAAACCAAAGAAGAATAGGTGGTCCACAGAAGATTTCTTCAAGATCCTCAAGGAAATTAATGTGGCAAAATCCAATGGTTACTTGTCAAGAGTTGCAGGATGATTTGCTTTCATCCGGAATCTGTGTCACTAAATGGACAAATAAGCAATGAAATTCATAGGAACAATCTATAATCGCACTTCCCCCAAAAAATTACACTGCTGTTGAAAAGACACATAGATTCCAGGTTGAAATTCATTCATGAACATAAAGATAAGGAAAAATTATATTGGGAAAGAGTATTATAGACAGATGAAAACAAAATTGAGTTGTTTGGACATCATTCTAGAAATCATGTATGGAGGAAACATGGCAATGCCTTGAAACAAAAGAACATAGTTCCAACAATGAAATTTGGTGATGGCAGCATCATGGTTTGGGAATGTTTTTCTGCAAAAGGTACTGGCAACATATCGGTAATAGATAGTAGAATGAATGCTGCATCATATCAAAATATTTTGGAAGCAAATTTAATGATTTCAGTTGAAAATCTTGAACTTCCTCCAGATTGGATCTTTCAACAAGATAATGATCCTAAACACACTGCAAAATCTACAAAGAAATGGTTTGCTGAAAATAATATAAATATTCTGAAATGGCCAAATCAGTTCCAAGATTTAAACCCAACTGAGAATCTATGGTGCTATTTGAAAATTCAAATCCAACTGAGAGCTCCAGCAAACATCCTGGATCTGAAGACCATATGCAAAGAAGAATGGAAAAAAATACAAACTAAAATTTGCAAATCATTAATTGAGAACTACAAGAAGAGTTGATTGCTGTAGAAATGAATAATGGCTACTGTACAAAGTATTAAATGAAGATTGTGTATTCTTTTTTGTATTATATGAATACTTGTTTCACCCATTAAAATGGATAAATGGGATTTATTTCTATTAAATCATTTTTTTCTGTTTCCTATGCATATTTAGTTATTATGCATCAGTGTACAGTTAATTATATGAAAAGTATGTTTATTCATTAATTGGACATAGAATAAATTTAAAATTTGTAAGTATATGAATATTTGTTTCTCCCCATTGTATATATATATATATATATATATATATATATATATATATATATATATATATATATATATATGTATATAGGAAAAATCCATGCATAAGTAATCTAAGTGAATCCTAATAATATAAAATATTAAAACTGATCCACAAAAGAGAGCTCAATAATATATTTATTATGGAGCATATAAATGAATTACATAGAAATGAAACTCAATTATATCCCGTTTATATGGCCATTTCACTCCTCAAGAGATTTCTCTCTTCAAGAAATACTTCTTACTACTACTACTACTTTGAGTGTTATGTGTCAGTTACTGTCAGGGTATCTTTTTTATAGTGCCTATTTTGTTAATGAAATAATTTTTTTTCTAATCATTTTAAATGTGTTTTTCCATTTTCTTATTCCATTGTTATGTTTGTTGTTGTTGCTATTGTTTTAGTCTACAACTAAAACAAAATAGCTGTAATTGCAATCTTTCTTAATATTTTGCATATGATTTTCAATTTTAGAAATGTTTTTTAGTGGAGTAGCCAATTCTGCAACTGCCTCTGGTAGCACAATGGCTACGTACATTGTTGATATAGATACATCCATAATCTGGAGCATAATAAAAAAAAAATAAGTTTAATTCCCACAACAAATATTGATTTCTCAACATATTTACCTTCTTAGTCAATGCATTTGATTTACTGTTAAATATTAATCTCATACATTGTATTTTATATACAGTGAAAATTTCAGATAAAACTTCACTTAATAGATGTGTCAAGCTATGTATTTATTGATGCATTTTTGTACACAAAGATATATCAAGTACATAAGTCATTTAGGAATTATTTTTAAAATCGGAAACTGGCCTTTGGTTGGCCTCACAGTAATTCACCAGTTATTTCACATTCAAATTTATGCTTCCTGGCAGTGTTTTTTTTTCTGCTTCAGTAAATCCTTTAATCTCAAAGTGGTTGAAATCAACCAGCTGTGAAATATTGATAAAGACACTTGTCCAACCAGATGTTATCAGGACTTTGAAGATGTCAGAAGTGTGTTTCCTTTTCTGGGTAGGGATGGCAACACAAAAATGGATTCCACTGAAAATTATCTTTTTATTTCTTCTTTTTTCTCCTCCAACCCCAATGAGTTGTGAAATCTGTTTATCAGAAAGATGAATAAA